ACCTGGACACCCTGGACTTCCACATCCAACACATGGACACAGGAAACTACGGAGCGGAATACCTGGACACCCTGGAGTTCCATGTCCAGTACCTAGATACAAGAAACTACGGATCGGAACATCTGGACACCCTGGACGTCCACGTCGACCACCTAGATGCAGGAAACTACGGAGAGGAACACCTGGACATCCTGTATCTCTAAAAACTGTCACCTAAAATACGAGGAACTATGCCGAAGCACACATATACATACATCCATACACGCGCGCTCCTCATGAATGCTATTAATGCTATTATTAAACTCAATAATTCTTTACTGTTTTGAAAGCACCCTTATACTTACTGGAAATTCGGTATGAACAGTAGCTTCACGTATAAAGTGTATTTGATTGCGTTGTGTATTCGTAAATTACTAACGCCATACAGAGTACAAATAGGTAAAGAAGGCACAGCAGTCAGCGCCATCTGTCGTGTAAAAAATGCGATGGACGTGCGAAGACGACGACGACGACGACGACGACGACGACGACGACGGAACTGAAATAAAATCATCTCGCTCGCCATTTGAATACGCCCTGATCTCGTGCACTAATCATATTGAACTTGGTGGCAATCGCTTCAGAACCTTCAATTCCTATAGTGAATGTATCAATAACTTTTCCTCATATATAACGATTTATAAGATATATCGTTCCAAACACAGGTATAAGGAGTTGACTCGAGTAAAGAGTCTCGGCGCGCTGCGCCCTGTACAGCCGGTTGCCTGTACTTGGCGCGAGACTCGACCGAGTCTCTTGATTCTATTTACCTCTTCAGTCAGCCATTTACGGTGCATTTGTGTGCTGAAATTTTAGTCGCTAATTCGGTTTATAGTATCCACGATACACGGATTACCTTCCCATTATGTAGAATTTAAGTAAGATTTTTCAATCATATGCTATATTTGAGAAGAAAACGCGAATATTTTTTTCAATTATTGTACATGATTGGTTAATTGAACTTAATGCTCTACGATGGAAAGATAGTCACTGAGATTTATGTGACATCAAACCCGCTAAGATGTTTAGTCTATATTTGTACGGAACCAAACAACAGTCACGGCAGTAATGACTGGAGCGCCACGGTAATAATCTGTATCTCGAATAGACATTAGTCTAAAAGGCTTCTCGGTTGGTACAAACGTTCATTTTTATTTCAGTTGATAATCTCTTTGTCGTGCTTGACGTATAATGGACATTATAGAAAGACTTATGTATCGAGGCATAGCCTTTTATATATTTAATGTTTCTATTTCTGTTGATTCTAATAAAGTGATGTTTATGTTTTCGTTCAGAATGAGATAAAAAAATTCATCGACCGAGTGTTTTATCCTGAGAAACGAAGGTACGAATATCCTTAATCAATGAGATCGTAATTTCCTTAAGGGGAACTGTTACTTGCTACTTTGGTTTGAAGAGTCTACTTTTATTGTATAATTACAAATAACAGTCCATTATTGACATTTCATTAGTCTTTATTTAGTATGCCTAGATTTATTTTATAAAAACTGAGATGTTTCGTGATTTTTGAGTGTTAGGTTTCACGAGACTTTTTGTAGGGTTTGTGCACTGGGCAGGCGTCTTCAGAAACAATTTAGACACTGGAGTTTTTAAGATAAAAAGAATAATGATATATTGTCCTATAAGTTACAGACTAGGTATCGTTATTATTCTATTTTGCTCTCTCTCTCTCTCACACATACACACACTTTATAATTGTCTCTAGCTTGCCAGTAGTACCATAGGCGACCAGAAGTGTTTTTGTTTGTGTACTCTCTCTGCTAGCCTTTTGGATTGGAAAGAGGTAGCTGGAACCACAATACAGCAGAGTGCACTATGCGTCCGAAGACCGTGGTCCAGTTGAAGGTGAGGATGATAACGATTCGGGACTCACAGGTGATCACGATGATCCCTGTTCGCCGAGCCAATTATCTTTGGGGTGAGGATGCGAGTGCTATCACCACAATACAGCAGAGTGCACTATGCGTCCGAAGACCGTGGTCCAGTTGAAGGTGAGGATGATAACGATTCGGGACTCACAGGTGATCACGATGATCCCTGTTCGCCGAGCCAATTATCTTTGGGGTGAGGATGCGAGTGCTATCACCACAATACAGCAGAGTGTACAATGCGTTCGAAGACTTGTGATGCAGCAGAGGTCTGGAGAGTGATGATTCAGGACCCACAAATGATCACAATGACCCCCGTTCACTGACTCAATTACTGTAGGGAAGGATGAGCTAGTGTCACAATACAGCAGAGTGCACAATGCTTCCGAAGACTGTGGTCCAGCGGGAAGTAGGTGTTGTAAAGATCGGAATCCACAGATGGTCACAATGACATCCGTTCGCTGTATCTTCACTTCGGAAGGGTTTTTGGTGATGTGGATTCTGGAGAGTTGCTGACAGCGCCGGCACTATGACGTTGCTGCAGGAATTCTTTTTGAGGAGTGCAGGTTTCTTAATAATTGAACTTTCTATAGCTTCTACTGCTTCTTGTCGTCTAGTGGTGCACAAGTATCTAGTTGATTAGTCTAGAGAGACACGAGTGAATCGAATGCCCTTCCTATCGAGGAAGCCGCTGCTTATATCCTCGATAGGCACACGTTAAAACTAGTGGGGATAACGATTTTTATCCACCCGGGGTGTTAACGTCGCTTTTTGGATTGAATATTATGATTTACGATTGGATTTGACTTTTTGATTTGACTGATCCAATTAGCGGTTTTCTTCCAGTACCGGCTTACTGGTATTTCTATTGTCTTCGGTGCGTGCCGGCTTATAGCGTCTGGGCATTTGTTTGTCTTGGTTTCAGTCTGTCGACTGTATCTCGGATTCTAGGAATATTAAAAGTAATAATTTCTAATATTATATCCTCATGACTGTCGCTGTGACCACATTCAAGGGAATTACGCAATATTAGATATTTAAAAGTCCTGTCTTCCCTTTCCTTTATCGGCGTCGCTGTGAGAGGTCGATAGGATTATTGAGGAATTCTAGGATTTGAGGAGTCTCTCAGATACTGTTATGCACATCCACAGTGCGCTATGCACTCCTATGTGGGGCTCTTGACGTATCAATCATCGAGAATGGATGATTGGGAGGGAAAAAGGATAGAGGTTAGGGGGGTATAAGGGTGGAACGTTATAATACTTGATCAAAATAAATATTTTTTTTTGTTGTCATAGTAAGATTGTACTTTATTGTTCAGTCTGCACGCAGATGTTATTTTTACGTAATCACACACATCGTGTTCATTACATTCAGTGTATATTTAACACCAGATTTAATGAGTCTTAGTCTAGTGTTTATTATTTTTTTTGGGTTAGCAAGACAAGACAAAAGAATATATAAAAAATTCTAATTCGTATTACATAACATTTTTCTGTTCCATTAAAACTATTCTGGATCTACTTAATTTTTATTTTCCTTGCCGAGGTATGTATTACATTGCGGGCAGTAATGGTTAGCTGTCTGACAAGAGTTGATGCAATAAGGACAGGGAACACACGGCCAACATCTGAAAACGAAAAATGTTGATCTAATTATATTCAGCTGTTGAATGCCATATTTGATCTTTTTAAGCACGTGCTATTCGTAAAGTTCCAATTTTATTCTATGAAATGCTACCAAATGCAACTTACCCAAATATGCACAATAAACATGCTATCACATGTGTCTTGGTATTAGACTTTCTAGTAATTGTTGTAGTAATATCAGTCCGGCAGTAGGGACATTGTATGTGCTGCGGTTCCGATCCGTAAGTGATTATGTGTATAGCTATAGTTTTTGAAAAAGCATAAAAATTATCTTGTAAGTAATCTGGAAAATGTAGCGGAGGAAAAATATTACTTAAGAAGACTGAAACAGTGATAAAATCGATAGTTAATTTACTGTTTATATGCTATTAACTTTTTTCTCTACTGTAAAAAAAAGATTTCGTTTCTTTTCAAGGTGCCATTATGATATCTGATGAATACGATGGAAGACTTACCCGGCTGAGTGACCGATGGAAAAAAGCCAGGTGGTGCTGGTGCATTCATCTCTATACCGTGTGAGTAAATTGAAACTGTGGATTTATTTAAATATTAATAAAACTTCATTTGATCAATGTTAAGCATATGAATTGACTTATAAAGAATATCTTTGTCATTATTGACTAGTTTATGCAATTTGAATATATGCCTAGTAAACTACAAGATCTTATATAAAGATGGACTTATATACTGATAACCCATCATTATATAATAACAAGAAATAATTCTTTCACTTGCAATTATTCTTATCAAATCCAATACTGTCACGTTGTGATAAATTACGTAATTCTAATCTCTTAGTTGATCGAAATGTTTTTCATTGCTATTTATAATAATTATATAAGTATTATTAACATTTAAATAGCACAATTACCTGTACACTGGTCGCTGTTGAAATTAACGGAGTCCAAATGTGTAGTGCACGTTTACTTCGATCGATGAGCGAATGGAGCATCCTGTTTTTATAGACTGATAAGAGATTACGATTAAATATTATTATTATCTGCAACTGTGACGTTTAAAAATCGATAAATGATGCTTATGATTAACACGTTCGCGCCGGCGTGTACCACGGGTGACTCACAGCTGGTTCAAAATTCGATATAATTCTAAGTATATACTTTAATTAAACAGAGATAACGGATTTTTCTATTAATCTGTATTATGGGATTAATTCCTGATAAGGGAGCGATGGTTTTACAGAGATTCTCATTTAATAAGGAATTTTTCATATTTATTTTTTATCGTTCGTGTTATATTAATCTCGATAAAGAATTTTATTTGAATTTACGGCTAGGAATTTTTTTTATAAATTTGTGACACAAATTCTTAATCTGTGTACTGTAACGTAACTATACGCTTTTTTTGTTCGTGCTTATTCCCCGAAGATAACGATTTGATTAGATAATCATGATTGATAATTGTTGTATATAAGGTATTATGGAAACCCACGTTATAAATATACATTATGACAAGTACACTATTACTCATCAAGCGATTTTATAATGATTCATTTAAGATCGAAAAGAATGGATTTTCCCAAGATTAAAATCTGAATCAAAATTTTGATTCAAAATTAAAATCTTGTTCCGGATCGGTTGGTGAGGTCGTCATAGAAAAAAAAAACGAAAAACGCCCACATTCATTATTTACACATTTGTGTCGATAACATAATTTTATTCACGCAATAAAAACTTTACATAATAATATCATATAATAATGTTTTTTAGGTATATCGGTCATGCAATGATATTCATATTATATTAACTTTTTATAATAATATTATATCCATCACTATTAAAAGTAGTGTTTCAGATGGTATTTTGTTGTTTACCTCGTGCATATGCGTAATGCGCAGGTTGTATTTCATTGTCATATGTCTTATACAATATTAGCTGTCGCAATAGAAATCGTATTTCTCTTATTATGTGCACACACTTTTTTTTTTGTATCTCTCCCTCTCGTCACTTTTCTTTTTATCTCTATCCTCCATTTTCATTTAATCTACTACTCCTAAAAAAATATAGTACTGAAACAGCCCGTAGGTTTTTTTTTTATTAGTGACAAGCCAAGGGACCCAGTGAGAGTCTGGATGTAAATTAAGCGTTTCTCGAACCGATATCTCGTATTTTCAAACGATGCGTGCTTCTATTTTCCGTTCGTCTTGAAAAACTATTTCGACTGACGAATTTGCCCGCGCGAAATTCATGCTACGTGAAACGTCCTGTACAATCGGCTCTGCGCGATAATGAAATCTGACCCGTAATCAATATTGTAGCCTTGAGTTTTGGTCACCTTGTTTATTTTTTTGTCATTTTTTTTTTAATTAGACGAAAGTGACCAAATATGGAATAGTATCCATAATATGGAATACCACTGTTTCTCTTAAACAATCTATTCAAGACGAAATATTCAACCATCTTCTATCTCACTTACTCACTTTAGTGTTTTGATTTGTCGGTGCCAACAAACTTTTCAAGGTATGTAGAAAATAAGTGTTTTTCGTTAGTTAATTTGTAAGAATAACGTTATTATACGTTTAGCGTATTGTATTGATGTTTGTTTTGATAATTGTGATACTCTTTATTGCGTAGCTATTGTTATTTGTAAAACGCGACGAGAAGTTTGAGCCTGTCTAAAATGCCAAATATGGACAGTCGATGGGTGCCTAATTATGGAATATTAGATTAGAGAGAGATTTAAAGATTGAGACTTGGGTTTGTGATTTCTGCAAGTAGAATAAGTTAATTTTAACCGAATAAGTAACTTTTATTTTTGACCAAAGTCTCAAGATCTCTTATAAAAAGACGTTACTGTTTTTTTTTTATTTTCTTTTTTTAAGAAACTTTGTGTCTTATTTCCATATTCCTCATTTGGGTATCTATTCCATAAATAGCTACTATTCTGTTACTTACATTTTTTAATTAAAAAAAAATATGTTTTTCAATATTAAAACACAAGACTGTGACTAAGATAAGCCCAAATGTATGACTGACTGTGTTTATAATTAAAAGTCTTTAATTCATGATAGTGTATTTTTTATGCCACAAAAACAAAATGGTATTCCACATTTGGTCACTTTCCTCTATCCTCTTTCAATCCCGCGTCAATTCAAATTCGCATATTTTCCGTCGCCCCTACAGGTATATAGATTTCCAATTTCAGTCTGTGGCAGTCTAAGATCCATCGAAGAGATACATTCTAACGAATTCGTCCTTGCGTTTCTGTCTGTTTGCTTTCGAAGGATTCTTTTCGTCTTGTTCTCGTGAAAACGCGAGAGTTAAGTGGCGAGTGTGAAGTAAGAATTAAGTTTTATTTTCGTGTACGGAAAGTTTTTCGAAAACAGTTCTTCGCGAGATACAGTTCTTTGAAAAGAATGACTCGCTTGGTTTTAGTAGATTCCAGCTATACATAGATCGAATCTGTAATGTGCTTGGAAAGAGTTAGACTATAGATCGGATTAGAATGCCAGTGTTTCAGATAACTAAGAATCGTCCGAAGAATTGTATCTCTCGAAGAATTGTTTTCGAAACATTATCTTCGAAGAACTATTTTCGGAGAACTAATTTTCGAAGAATTTTCTGTAAAGCGATATTTTTTTTTCCCTTTCGTTTCCATAGTGAGTGGTTGTGCAATTACTTCTATTCATTATTTGAGATCGAGGAATAAGCTGTTCTTATCGTTAATACATTTTTTTCTGTGAAATCCTCGATGAGGACACTTCTTCGTGGTTTTAGGTATATATGCACATACGCGTCTTGTCTCGCTCGAGCATACGTGTATAGTATATAGATATACGCGACGTATCAACGTATCATTCATTTCCCGGTGACTATTTTTTCAATTGCTTACGACGCTTTATTAACATTGTTTTGTATATAAATATTCTTCGTTCGTGTATCTCTGGAAGTGCGGACGCCATATTGTTCTTTCTCATTGTGTCTATCGTCATATGAATTAACGTTAATGCAAGAAGTTTACGTGTACCCGTGCGTGTTATCAACGTTTACCGTCCTCCAGTTATCACTGGTCATTAACGTATGTAATCCGTAGACACGTCGATTGACAATACCTATATATATCTATATCTATATCCGTCGGTCCATTGAATTATTTCTTTTATTTACACAGACAAAGGTCAGTGTTACAATCTAGCATGACGGCATTATTTTGAGTGACGTCATCATGGTTATTAATGTATTATCGTGGCTAATGACAGTGATTGAATCATTGATCAATAATTATAAATTAACGTCGCGATAATTAGATCAGAAGAAAAACAGACTATTGATTGATCATCAAAAATTCATTATTAGCGATGATGACGTCACTGGTGAATTAAATTTTTTGAATTTTCTTAATGCGATTTTCTTTCCTAATATCCGTAACGACGTCATACGTGCCGTTCGGAAATACGTTTAATAGTGCAGCTGTTATATAAAAAAAAAAAAAATGTATTCTTACGAAGTACCGATTGAAATGCAAAAAGGATGTTAAGGGAACGGGTCAACATAAATTGAGGGTGGATGTACGAGTAATAATAATAACAATGAAGACTAACATCAATGATAAACGCACACAGAATATGGAAGATGAAACGTTGCATCACCAGTCGTGTAGAGTATCTCGAAGTACGAAAATGTTACGGTGTGCGAATACGAGTATCGTAACAATTGGCGAAGGACGTTAATTAGTATTAATATAATAATCGAGGGCCCGACCACTAAAGGTATTATACGTCTAATTGTAATTTGAACCGCAAACGATTAACGCAGCGCACTGGTTCTCACATATCCATATAAGTATATATATACCGTATAAAAATGACATGGCGCCCGCAAATTTGTCCTGTCCCATATTTTTTTTTTCTTGTAATGTTATTTAATAAACACCTAAATAAATTTCCTATGCCTCGTTTCTTTCGCAATCTAATATAGGTGTAATTTTAACCTAAATCTCATCCGATCCTGTATCGTGTGCCTTTCGTGTCCTTATTCTCAATTATATATATATACATATATATATTATAGTTCATAAGGGAGCATATAGGTATGTAACATATGCCTGTACATGAACACGCATATGCATACGGGCAAAAGGGAAGTGCACGCCCTTTGGCACGCCATAACTATGTATTTCTATATATGGTTGTGTATATATATATACATACTATATATATGTATATATATATGCTCTCATATCTGCGAGAAAGCACGTGCACTCATTTTGGAGAATGTTTATATAATCATATGTATACATACGTATATGCATGCACTTATATATAATATATATATTTATTTATTTATTTATATATAATTTTGTATTATACTCATGTGTACCTAGACTTCATCTTGTTACAAGTATTATTTAGAATATTATTTCAATGAGCAAGTAGACTAGTGTACTGTTGCTCCGCTTTCGTTTATCCATTATCCATATGTACGGTTCGTCCGCAGTTTTTACAGAGTTTCCGTCTATTTAGTAAATCCGTGTCACGTGTGCTTTCCTCTGCATCTTTCGTTCGTTTAATAAATATAATGGTAACAGATTTTTCACGCGGTCCTCCGTTCATCTCGCACGCTGATCCAGTAGTGCATTGTTTCTCTGTTTTCTTTTTTTTTGGCTTTTCTTTTCATCTCAGTTACTTATTGCGACCCGTCCGAACTTTAATTACTAAGTGTAGCGTTTTATTAACGTTACTGAATCTTAATGCGCAAACTTACGATATTATTTACAGCGACATCTGCCAGTTCTTTTTCGCAACGTCTCGCACAGTCTGGTTTCGTTCAGCTCGATTCCCGCCACGTGTGCATGTCCCGTGTTATTTTCACTTTGGGTTTAGCTCTAGTTGAATTAGTATGTGTATATGCTAGGCATTCGAACCGTAATACGTATCGCGCGAGCAAATCGGACGTCGGGTGACAATTATGTATTATTTGCAATTGTGTTGTACGGTTTGCAATAATATCGCGTATGGCGATTTTCACTCTATGCGATTTATATGAAATTTTCGT